ATAAATGTCCACGTGTGTAATTTCATGGAAGACTGTTATAGACATAAAAGCACCACAAAGAGAACGGCAATGAAAGCTGTATAACATGGAAGCTGAATACGACAGAATGGAAGCTGTATAAATAATAGATGCGACAAAATGAAAGCTGTTAATATCGACATTAATGATCAATGGGTAATGCAGCCTTTGACAAATCAAATTAATCATGACGTCGGTCACACAAACACTTGGTCACCCCGTCCATTTCCTCAGCGCTACTTCAAGTGTTCCAAATACGTCGTTCCTGTGTGGAGTTTTGTGCTGAGGTGGCCATTTTACGATCATTCAGTTCAGCACACAGCCCTGCCCTTTTTTAGGCTTACAGCTGCGTACAGTTAGGTCTAAGACATACAACGTTCTGGTTTCTGAGCTGGATGCCCGCAAACTAATGCAGGCTATTTCGTGCAGATCACTTCAAGCTTACCAAAACATGCGTGATGCCATAGACGCGTCACGAAAATATTGTAATCTCATTGTCTATGTGGTGTTCAAGGCCAAAAAATACCATAATCGAGTTATTTTTTGTCTGGCGTACGCCAGCGCGATTTCCCGGACTTCAGTTAGTTCCGAACCGATTCATTGCAATCTGTGCAAGTTTAAAATACCAATCACGTTTCGTGCTACATAATATAGAAATTTGAACAGTGGTACGAGTTAAAACAAATGTAAAATTGTGACTCGATTGACATAGAATAGCGTCATTACCAGCATATGAATGCAAGTGACTTAAATCAAATAATAGACAATCATCCAAAAACATCACGCGAAGGAGCCAAAACATGAACCCATGACAATATTCGATTCCGCGAACACGCTCCAGTAATATGCTACCACCTCTCGGCAAGTTGAAGTACTGCAAGTTAATCACCCCGTCCGCTACAGTGACAATTCTGACACGGTCAGTATGGCAGCAACGCGACGTCATAAAAACGCTCCATGGTGTAACCAAACAATGACGTACTAAACAACATATTTATTAAATAATGAAATGTTGTTGACTAGAGTAACATTGAATGCTTAAAAGCAAAGCAATCGTCATAAGTGAGCTTGTTTCATTGGCACGTGCCTGGGTAGCCGGCTGGATACTCTTCGCTCGGGTGGGGGTCACGTTGCCCACGCTAAGATCTCAGGAACCAAGAAGGCTAGGTAGACCAAAATTACAGGGTGTGTTAACCTATACATGAACAGTACAAAAATACAAAAGTTTGAAGTTTCTATGTTATGACTTTTGGGTTAAGTAAGGTCAAACAAGGTAAAGATTGGTCTCCAAAGTGCTCCCAGAACCTAGCTCCCTGTTCTAAGCAAAAAGTCACATGCTCATTTTAAGTTATTGACCTTGGTTGGTCTCTTGAAGGTCATGGTGATCAAAATCATACAAGCCTGCTTTGAGTTCTTCATTTTAATAAGCGATATAGATTACGTTAGGCAGTATGTTCCTGAAAACAAAATGTTAACCTGGATCATTCTAGGTCAGTGACCTGTTTTGACCTCTAAGAAGTTCATAGAATATGTATAATGTGGTTTTTGTTCTCAATAAATTTGAAATGAGCACCAGAAACTATCCCATACAGTAGCCCTGGAGTAAGGAAACGAGTTGTTTTGGCCTTGATCTGACCTTCATACCTTACCCTAGGGCAATACAATTTATTATCCAATTATTGTGTTTCCTACAAAAAAATATATCAGAGTTGTATAGCTTCGTCTAACACGCCGTTGTTGCATCAGATTAAACGATTCCCTATAAATTGTCTTCGATGAATCCGTGGCCCGATTTCAATCTGGCGTAGGTTAGTGACCTTGCAAGGTTCATCTAAATTTTTTACACCAAATAATCCGCTATTCAATTGTTTACAGCTATGCCAAGTTTGGCTCGGCTACGTCGCGTCGTTCGGATATCATTCCGGAGCGTCGTGTAACTTGTGCAAGACCACTTATCCGACGGGCGCTAGTGGACGTCGACAGATGTGACGTGCAATATTCAATGTCAGGTCGAGGAAGTGAATGCTATTCTTTCATTAACACGGCGAGAAAGCTTAACAAAGAAAACAAGCAGCCACATCAATGGAGAAAACAATGTAGATCTTCAAAACCTGCGAGATATGCATCATTAACGTTTCAATCACATAACCTTTAAAAGGGCGGCGCTGGTAATGAAGGCATAGGTTTGACCTAGCTTGGGCTTGGACGATCCTGGTCTTGTATAAACAGCCAAAATGATTGTAATAGGCTTCAGGGTGATAATGCAAGAAGCATTCTGGAAACGCTCTCTCGAGTGCATTTCGTGCCACAAATAAGCGTTACTTGTCACTGTGAAGCTTGACGTCACTGCCATCATCTCGGAGACGCACGTGATAAATCATGAACTGTCAGGACCATTGAAGTTCATATTTTACCATACATGTAAAAATAATCTAATATAAAGTGCTCCAAGCCGTCCAAAACTTGTTCCAGAAAGAACTTAGGGTGCTCTGAGTCCAACCAAGTGGGCTGTAGTTTAGCATTTACTTTGCAAACTTTGGCGAAGGTTGACATGTTTTGTTGCCTGATCCAGCTTGCTGCCACTAAAATCTGAGCATTAACTTGCTTGTTTTTCTTCCCTGTCTTGCTGGGTCTTACTTATCTCGACAAAGTTTCAATGCATTTCTACTTTTGTCATTGAGTGAATTGGAACGAAGGCTCCATGCTTGGCACAATCCAGCGACCTTGCAGGGTTGGCAGGTAATACAACACAAATTATAAAAGTATAAATGACAAAAGGATGCTTAGATCATAGATTTAAGCAGTTATTCATATTATAAAGCGCACAGTATGCAGACGGCACTTACAACGCCACGTGGTATGTTATGGAGAGGGCGTCAGAGCTTGTCGTTTCTGTTAACCCTTGCAGCGCTGGCGAGTGCGGTCATTGCCGTGCTCTGTCCGGCATGACAAGAGGATCTCGTGTTCACCGCCAGTGGGCGGCAGGCCGGCTCGCTGTGCGGCGATAATCCGCTGGTCTCGCCTACGCCCATCCATCCGGGGCCGGTGCCATGTCCGTCTCGAACTGGGAACGTCCTGCTTGGTGACCAGGTACTCTGGCGTCGTGGTGGCATGAGCGGATCCCTCCGGCATGCAGAAGTGCTTTCATATCTGCACCATCTTGGATTCGCGGCGGTGTGGTCAGAACCATGGGGGAATTTCACGGAAACTACACGCCTCTTATCACGCAAAGAAATATGAGTAGACTGATCAGGCAAAACCAGCGCTCGCCTTGGTAAAAAGTCAAAATTGAGCCTAACGTCGTGCGACCACCACTGCTTCAAGTGACGTCAGCAAAGCTCGGTACTTTGGTCTCTACGCCTTATTAAAATGGAGGATGCACAGTGTAGTGGCTACCAGCGCGCCCGCAACGCACCATTGAAGACTGAGTTTGGTCTGAACGCACTTATCAGCTAGCAGGCAAAGGCGTTATAAAAACTGGGTAAGGTAATATTCCCGGCCTGACTGAGAACCCACGGTGGGCCGCAACACACGGCGACAGCAGGGTGGGTCCAGCTGGGCCCCAGGCGGCACCTCATACACTCCCTCCCATGCATCGCAGTAAGATGGGGGCATCGCCGTGGGCAATCGACTCCGTGTAGCTGGTTCGGTTGTTGCACATCCTGGACCGGCAGGGAGCCATCGGGAACACCTTTCCTACTCACGGTTTGACGGGTGTTGGATCACCAACGATTCCCGCTGTGGCCGATCGTGTTTTGGCATTCAGTAAGCGATCAAATGCCTCCGCACTCGCAACTGTGGAACAAAAGTACTTGCCTCTGATGAGGAGAAAATGGGAAAGTTTCTTTCTAGGCTACCCAGTACTTTTAAATGCTCTGGAATATTGCAGCCGTTTGTTATTTTTCCAAATCCAAGTGTTATCATTCGTCGAGACATTGCAGAATGACCTAACATTGGAGTTGTTATGACGAAAGCATAACGTACATAAAGGATATTATTCGGTCCAAAATGAGCATGGCACTAATAGTGATGTGTCTAGGTAGCTAAAGAACCAAAAGCTACAGTATTTTATATTTTTCGGTATTTCTACTAGTAAGTGACGCCACTGGAACCAGATATAAGTTGACCGACATTTCCCTCAGCGGTGGCGAGTATGTTTATTGCACTACCGCGGCTACGGAAACATGCGACTGCCAGTTCAATGACAAAAGCCCAGCTGCACCCAGTGGTCGTCATTCACATAACATGCATCCGTCAAATCGTGGCTAAAGGAGATGTTCCACATGGCCCCCTGGCGGCGCAGGATGCGTGACGGCTGAACCTGCTGCAGATGGTCGATTGGCCGTTTGATCTTATCGGCGGTTATGTGTCCCATCTCAAGCCTGAGGCTGGCTTGAGCTCTTAGGAGGTTCGCTGGTTTGTCCACGTGGCCGCTGTTGCTGAAGTTCACCCACGACGTGAAGTCCACGGGTGACAGGTCGGGCGTAGTGTCGGTATATTGGCAGATAAAAGGTTTCTTCATGGCTCAATATATGCATATGTGTAGCTGAATATGTAAAAGTACGTGCAGCTAGTCAATTTTGTGAACACAGGGCGAGCTCACCACTCACTTGCAGTGCATTGGCGTCCTCCGTGTACCACCTGCCACCGATCCTGGACGCTCATGAGGATATCACCCCGCCGAACGGCATGCACCGAATGGCGCCGATCAATACGGGTCTCCCGGGTGTCACCGGGGTCTGACGGTCTCTGTGGCCACGAGGTGAGCTCATCGCATTCGTTTTACATCGACGTTCGCGCCATCTGATCGTTTCTGTCCAGTCATGGTTTCCACGCAACATTTTCAGCTTGTAAATATTTCATTGCAATACGGAGCATGCATCCTTCAAGCGCACATCAACGTCAGAATCACAGGGTCTTTCCGCTCGTGTCTCGGTACAGCCGTCACACAGTGCGGCCTCATTGGCTGCCTATTGGGCACCCTAGGCCCAGAACAGCTCCGGGTGGTCGATCCTCAGCTGGGCGTACTCGGGGATCTGCGTCGGCGCCACGGGCAGGTGCGCCGCTTGCGGCTGGAAGCCACCCTCGTCCGCCACGTACGACACTCGGTACGTCTGGCCGTCATCACCCACGAACTGGAAGCTGCCCGTCTGGCTGAGAGTGCCGGTGCCCGGCTCCGGGCCGGGGGACACACGGCCCACCTCGCTGGCGCTCTGGCGGTTGTCCTGCTTGTAGCCGTACTCGTAGTTGCCCTCCGGGTCCCGTTCGAACTTCTGGCTCAGAATGCGTACCTCCGGCGGCGCGGCCGCGGCGCCGGCCGCCAGGGCGAGGAGAACCTGAGGCCGGGCATGCGCTGCTCAGAGGGGCGGGGCGGGATGTAGCTGGCCCCGCAGCGGAGTGATGCAGTCAGGTAGCGACGGGTTAATATCCAAACAGTGGGTTTCATTCGTGTCTGAAGCGCGGTATCCGATTGCATTGCTTTACTAATGATTGTTTTGATGCTTCACCCGCGATATTTCCCCGATTAGGAGAGCCTTTGCCAATGACAACTGTCTCATGGCCTCGTCTGAATGGTCAGCAATTTCCGCTGCTGTAATACGAACGGACAGGAGCAAAGTCAGCCTGTAGTTCGTACCACTTTTATTCAAGGCTCTTTACTGACACATCAAGGCATGCTGGCGAAGTCTGTAACCCCACTGCTACAAAAGCTTAAAAAGTATTCCTTCTAAATTCATGTCAAGAAAGTTGCTAGGAAGTTATGATTCGTCAGCTACATTCCAGTTCATAACCCACCACCTATCAATGAGTTATCACAATTGCAGTAGCTTATGACATACACCTGTAACTTGTCAGCACACAGGGTTTTCCCCGACACCAGAGCACCATTTGCCCAGCCAAAAGCAAAACGATGTCAGGAGACAGTACATATGTCAAGCCTTGCTGCAAACTTACCAGCTTCATATCTCCGTGTGTGACGACTGTTGGATGTCTTGCCCGCGGCTGATGATGACTGAATGGTGGCAAGCCGGCGACCAGGCCTTATATAACCACGAACGGCGCTTCGTGACTTCTCCCGATGATACAGCCCGAGCATTGCAACAGCCCGCCTGACCCGGACCGCCTACGGTCTGGATAAGCGCGTGCGTGAGTTCTGCATGCGCTTCAGCGACGTTTTCCCTAACAATGACAAACGTATTCGACGCCCAGTCGTGACTGGTGTGGCATGCAACTGCGAATTCAGTAGCAAAACACAGGCAACAACAGTGGTAGTCATCAGAGACTTCGCGTACGTCAAATTGCGACTACAAATGATGGTGCAGATGGGCCCCTGGTGGCCCGGGTGGAGAAACAGCTGACTGCCTGCTGCAGGTGGTCGATTAGCCGCTTTGTCTTGTAACGCGTGTCTTGTGATGCGTCCCATCTCAAGCCTGAAAGCTGAATTTAGGTCTTGAAGGTTTGCTAGTTTGTTCACGTGGACGTGGTTCTTGAGGGCAACCCACAGCGTGAAGTTCAGGGCGACATGCCGGGCGGGTGAGAAGGCACAGCACGACCGTCTTGAGCTTGTGCCATGAAATGCCCCTCAAACCAAGTCAGTGAAGTCTATAACGTGCTCGGTGTCGCCCGGTCCTGCTGGAGCCACTCCTAGTGCGGATCGACCCCGTGAAGACGACCCAGGGCCACTAAGAAGTGTACCGGAACGATAGCGATGTAACGCTCTGAGGTGGTGTTGACAAGATACTCGTACTTGTCCTTAAAGAAGGACCTTCCGTAGACTACAATTTTATAAGGGCGTGACCCCTAATGACTTTCGCTTTTTTATTTCTTGCAATTGAATGGTCATCTGAACATTACCAATCTTTCCTGATGATGTGAGAAAACATCTGTTGCTTTTAAATAAAACAGGGATTACTTTTATTCCGGCAACAATTTGCGGTAAAAATTGGCTTGCCGCAATGCTCGGCACCGTTCAACCGGCCTCCGGTGTTACCCGACCGTCGGGACGACCGCCGCCACCGGCCGAGTGCGACCGCAAGCAAAGATCGGCCGAGTGCGACCGCAAGCAAAGATCGTGGACGCATAAAGCGACTCAAACCCACACCGCCGCGAGTCGGTGAATCGGGGGGCAGAACTGAGAGCGGGGGCGCAGCCAGAGCCTTGATAAGGGTTGGGGGTGGCGTAGGGCGGTGGCACAGGGTTGAAATGGTCCCTCTGTTGTCGAAAGGCATGGCCGACTTGGTTTTGAAAAAAACTCGATGTTCTTCATCTATTGTTCGAGAAACTATCGGATAATATAATTTTGTTTTTGTTTCAAATCCAGTAAACTGGATGAAGCGGGCGTTAAATGATTGCATCTAATAAGTTGCAGGTGTTTTACACTTTTCAATGGTTCAATTAAATCCTTTTAAACCTAGATAACCCAGAGGCTTTGCGATGTCTTTTTGTGGGTTTTACAAAAATATTAACAGCGCCGTGAATGTAGATTGTGGATCAAAATGGAGTCAAAAATACATTAAAATGGCCAACCACAGTTTGTCGGTAATTTTAAGTCTGCAGTCAGCGTCGATCGCTGAAGAATAAGGTCACAAAGTTTTGCACGAGCGTGCACAAGTTTAAGGACAATAACATCCAAGTCCAGCGTTGCAGTCTCCACAGGCCGTGAGGTCTGCGGTCTCCACAGGCGTCGGCCATTTTGCTAACATTACGCGGCGGCCAACAGGAGAGATGATAACGACAATGCATCTGCAGTGGTTGTAATACTTTGTAGTTCCATTGAATGTTTTATGACTTAAATCCGTACGTCTGTAAGGTATTCCGACCGCATATTTCTCCTGTTCGAGTTTTAGGCTGATGATAAGGATAGATTAACATTTACAGCACCGCGAACTGCAGCTGGAGTCTGGTGATGGAACTGGAAGGACGCAGGTAGAGTCGTTATTTTCTGTGTCGCTCCAACTGTTCGTCTGTTCAGAATACATCTTAGAAATCATGCAGTTGAAATATGCCACCGGCCTAATCTTTGAACACTACGCACTGATTTTGAAAGACTATTGGAAGCATTATTTCATGACGGCCTTTCCCGCGCGCCCGCCGTCTGGTGCAATCTGCAGCTGCGATGCCGCTCCGTTTACGGAAATTGCAACACGGGTCATTGCTGTTCTTGCTCTCAATATCAAGAGCGCGCTTAATCACAATTTATTAATGTAATTGGTGTCAGTAGTTGATTCTGCAAAACAACGGACGTTCTCAGGCAAACGTAAGCTTCACCTTATTCATTTGGATTTTATTGATATCTATTCTATTGAACATTGATGAGACCCACACCTTTTTCCGGCCAAGAGGCTCATGGTTTGAACATCGTAAGCACGTTACCATTCCCGGCAAGCACTGAGAGGCCATTTCACCCCAGCATGGAGTGACTACCGGCTGCCATTCTGGCGACACAGGGGCGGGTCTCACGGTCGATCAGAATGCCCTTAGAGGGACGCACCGTACGTTGGTCCCCTGGTGAGGTCCCGTCTGACCCAGGAAGTTGGCCTCTGGATCGACGCAAGAAGCCTCATTGACCTAACAAAATTTATTATCGCTGCCGGTGGTTCAATAATTGGCACAGATGCTACAGGTTGGCTAAACGGGCACTGGGGTGAAATCGGATGGAGAGACGTTGTTCCCTACTGGGGGTCCTGACTAACACACGGCTGTGTCCATGTCTCATTGAGGACTTCCGTCCATAAGTCCTCATATTTTTTTCATTTTCAAAGGGCCCGGCCAACGCAAAGTCCCCCTGGCATTCGGGTCCCGTCACTGTCGCTGTTCAGGTGATGTTTCCCTGGCCGGCTCGGGGTCCCTTGTCGACAGAAGACCCCCTAACAGGCAATGCGGGATCCTGGTAGACACGGGGCCCCTCATTGGCTCAGAGGCCCGACCATTGTAAATCGCGGTCTCCCTGCTTGTCACTGCTTTGGAAATCAGCCCTCAGGCCCAGACCGACACGAAGCCGACTGATCGGTACTGGTTGTGCCTGGCTGGCAAAGACCTTCACTGACTCGGAAGACTCCCAATCGGCACAAAGGGCTCACTGCCTGGCAGTTGAGGTCCCGGTCCTGTGGGTGGGGTCCCTTAATGCGATCTGCGACCCGCGGCCGGTCCTTCAGGCTCTTCGGGCCATCAAATCGGGCCCTTAATCATTGGTTCCGAGGGGCCCTTCAGACCCCTCGGGACCTAAGGGCGGGGGCGGGGCACGTGCCCCGTGTGTCCCTCGCCTGCGCCGGTAACTGGAAGCATGACTTGTCAGGGAGCTGGTTTTAAACGAGATTAATAAGAAATTGGACACCCATTGAGCATGAGAAAAAAAACGGAGAAAATAATTTTAACGATTTGACCAGATATCTATTTTGATCACAGGTCAGAATTTCATTGCGATTTTAGTTAAGCAACCATTCATACTAAAATTTGCAGTTCTCTGATGCAAGCAAATACGTGACGTAATGCGCTCAGATTTCAGTGATATTTTGCACTGCGCTCGACATAAGGCATCGTTGCAAGTCTGTAAAAAAGGTTGTACCAGGGCCTGATCCTGTGCGGTGCAACGGCATGCAGAGAATGTATGAGGCTGGTAGTGCAGGATAGGCCAGAAAAAGGTTGATTTATGACTAAAAACGTACGCATGCATAGCCGGATATGCAAAATGTTCGCAGCTAGCTGCCTTTGTAACCTGAAAGATGCACACGCCGTCCACTGGCAGTGCAATGGCGTCCTCCATGTACCACCTTCCACCGATCGTGGACACCAACGTGGCCAGCTCCCTGCCAAGCTGCATGCACCGAATGGTGCCGACCAACGCCGGTCTCCCGGATCTCAGCTGTGACCAGAAGGTGAGCTCATCGCGTTCGTTGTCCTCGCCGCGCGGCCCAGCTGACCTGTCAGTCGACCCAACCTTTCTAAGCACGCTTTTCAACATGGTAACAGTTGTTTTGTCAAATATAGCACGGATCGTACATAAGCACGTTCGCGTCAGAATCACAGTGTCACAAGTTTCCGCTCGTGTCTCGGTACAGCCGCCACATGGTAAGACCATCATTGGCCGTCTATTGAGCGCCCTCGGCCCAGAACAGCTCCGGGTGGTCGATCCTCAGCTGGGCGTACTCGGGGATCTGCGCCGGCGCCACGGGCAGGTGCGCCGCTTGCGGCTGGAAGCCACCCTCGTCCGACACGTACGCAACCTGGTACGTCTGGCCATCGTCGCTGACGAACTGGAAGCTGCCCTGCTGGCTGAGACTGCCGGTGCCCGGCTCCGGACCGGGGGACACACGGCCCACCTCGCTGGCACCCTGACCGTTGTCCTGCTCGTAGCTGTGCTCGTAGTTACCCTGCGGGTCCTGGTCGAGCCGCTGGCTGAGGGTGCGTACCCCCTGCGGCGCGGCCGCGGCGACGGCCACCAGGGCGACGAGGAGAACCTGACGGCGGAGCACGCGCTGCTCAGAGGGGCGGGAAGGGATGCAGCTGAGGTCATGGTGGGGTGGCGGAGTCAGATGACGACGCTTTGTGATGAGAGCAGTGGGTTTGATATGTGATTAAGCCGTGATATGTAACTGCAATCTGCACCAACGATCATTGTAATGCTTCAGCAATGGTATTACCTCTATTGGAAAGCACTTGTCACTGACAGCTGTCTCATCGCCTCGCTTGGCGCGTTAGAAACACCCAGGACGCGGTTTCGAACGAAGTCAGTTGTGATATTTACTTTGCATTTGTTACCGAATCGGGGTTTTGCCTGCGCAAAGCTTTTTGTTCAGCCAAAAGCCAAAGCGATGTCAGTTAGCGTGTCAAGCGGTGCTGCCAACTCACCAGCTTCATTTCTCCGTGTGTGGGGGCTGGTGGATGTCTTGCCTACGGCTGAAGATGACTGGATGGTGTTAAGACAGCGACCAGGCCTTATATACTCGGGAGCGGCACCTCGTGAC